CCATTACGTCCCTTCCGGGGTTCCATAGTACGGTGCCTTGAGATGCTACTTTTGAAGGCGCTATATAAAATAAATTTGATTAATTTAATTATTATTATTTTTATTATTATTTCTAACCTCAAAAGTGTGTGTGGACTCTATAATTGAATTTTATGTTATTTATGTTGTTTTATTTGAGCTACTTTTAAATAACTCTCGATACAGAATGAAGTTGTTTATACATATCTGTACTTACAACATCTACTTGACCATGGCATAACCAGCCAAACCATTCTGAAAAGGAATTTAGACAGATGAGTGCTTTAGTCACTTTTCAAAGCGAATGAATGGCGCATAATGCAGGAAATGTTCACCAGATGTTTGTCGTAAAAGCTTTTTTGTCTCGCATTCATTGATGCTTTTGTCAGTCAGTTCTCTTCTTTGTGTGTTCAGAAAAGAGGAATTGCAACCTTCCATGTTAATAGAAAAGGAAGTTTTAAATCTCTGACAGACAAGGTTAGTGAACGGTGAGCCATCTTCCCTAATTTAAAAGGATCTTCTGCATATATTCAAGATAGTTTTTGTGCTGTATAGTTTCTGTCTTTAGTCTTTGGTAGAATAGAGGGATATTACTACTTTCACATTACAGAAATCATCTAATCCTATATTCAAGTCACATCAGAATGATTGCATTTACGAGTTGAGTCCTATTTAGTAGCAGTAAACAGGGCTTGTCAATTACAGATTTATAGAGAAAGCAGATTGTTATTGATCATAATGCACTGCTGCACTTATGAGTGTTATTGATGCAGTTTAAGTTAGCATATTGTTAAAAGCTTGCCAGAAAACACTCATTAAAGGAACATTCCACTTTCTTTGGAAATAGGCTCATCTTACAACTCAAAAGTTAAGCAGTTGAGTTTCCAAGTCAAAACAAATGCATCAAAATCTCTGTTCTATTAATACTATCCAAGGTATTCTATTAATATATATTATATATCAAGGCTTCTATTTTAGAATTAAATCTTTCTTTGATGCTGAAAAGAAGCTTGTTTCAGCAACTTTTATGTCTGTATTGGACTATGGCGATGTTATTTATATTTAGGCATCTTCTCAAAGTTTACATGCTTTAGACCCTGTTTACCATGGTGCTCTGAGGTTTGTAACGAATCTTAAATCCCTCACTCATCATTGTGTGTCGTACACTCGGGTTGAATGGTCCGCTTTGTTCACTCCTAGGCTCAAGCATTGGCATGTCTTTGTTTATAAATGTATTCTTGGTTTACTCCCCTCATATCTCAAAACTTACATTTGTAAAAAACCTGTCTCTAGCTATAGCCTTTGGTCTCAGGAATTTTATTTATTGTCTGTACCAGTGAAGCGTATTGAAATGGGAAAAAAGCAGCCTGATCTCAGGAGAAAACGTAAGTATTTTACGTTTTGCTAATTTAGTGGCTAATTCGTACGAATTCATACAAGTTCAGTCGTACAAAATTGTACGATTTTAAAAAGGAGGCGTGACATCTAACCCCACCACTAAACCCAACCGTCATTGGGGGATTAGCAAATCGTACTAAATTTGACAAATTAGATTGTACGAATCCATACGAATTAGACACTAAATCAAAAAGTTACGAATTGCTGTGAGATTGAGTTGGTATTTTACGTTTTGACAGTTTATTGGCTAATTTGTACAAATTTGTACAAGTTAAGTAGTATGAAAATGTACGATTTTAAAAAGGAGAAGTGGCAAACAACCCCACCACTAACCCCAACAGTTATGGGTGATAAGCAAATCGTACTAAATTGTACAAATTAGATCGTAAGAATTCAAACAAATCAGCCACTAAATCAAAAGGTTCAGAATTGCTGTGAGGGTGCGTTTTAAATGCAGCACCTTTTGCAAAGACTAACCTCCAAACAAAGTTGCAATTTAAAGAGTTTGTTTCACTACGTGCTTTTAAAAACATTTTAAATGATTTGGAGTTTGAAACTTTGGCCTGTAGATGTGCTGAATCGTTTTGAACTGTAATTTTTTGTGTGTTTTGATAAATGAATGATGTTACCTGTTATTTGATTTTTTAATTTATTTTTTGTTGTTTGTTTGTTAAACCCATATGAACTGTATACTGCCTAATTTTGGCCAGGACACTCTTGTAAAATCATTTTTTTTATCTCAGTGTGCTTTTCCTGGTAAAATAAAGGTTATAATAATAATAATAATAATAATAATAATAATAATAATAATAATAATCAATTTATCTTAGCTTAGCATAAACTATTGAAGTGGATTAGACCATTAGCATTTCGCTTAAATTTAATGCTTGGGTTTAGCAGGCGTAATGATATCACATAGCACTGTTATCTAGCTGAGGACAAATGCTTCTAATACCATTGCGTCTGCAGCAGCCATGATTCCTTGATTATTATGGCTGAATGAGAGTATAGTTCCCATACATGTAGATCCATATCGACCTAGAAAATAGCAACTTTGAATTTTATGTTGGTCTTATACACGGTGTACAGTCACCAGAACCCAGCAGGCACAGGACGTCAACATGGCGTCAGTTTGATGTTGTACCCCAAAGTCATGGGGATGGTGCAATTTGTTTGAAAATGAAAATTGGGTTGACATCAATGACCAACCTAAAATCAACCAAATATCAATGTCTAATGATGTTACAGCTTGACGTTGTGTGGACCTTACTTAGACGTTAGATTTTGGTTGCCATACCTGACGAATAAACGCCAGTATTTGACAACAATATGAATTTTAGTATACTATGTTAGTTTGAAGGTCACTTTCCAACACAACTTAAGATCAACCAAATATCAACAACATTTGATGTTGCTAATGGACGTCAAAATAATGTTGTCCTTAGATGCTGACTAGACAATGAATTTTGGTCCCCTGATGTCACGACCTAAATCTAACCTAATATTAACATCTTATGATGTTGTGTGCCTGCTAGTAAGAGTCATGCTTAAAAGAGATGCTAATGGTCTAATCCAGTTTAATGATTTATGCTAAGCTAAAAGTGCTCCCACCACACTTGGGGTTAGGCTGAATGAATTAAAAACAGATAAAACTCACCTGTTTAATTCTTGCTGACTTGTAAAGTGAGTCTTTTTTCAAAAAAGTGGAGTGTTTCTTTAAGTTGGTTTCCGATAAGACCACATTTCATGACATTTTCCATAAAATATATACAGACAGAAACAGTTATAAATATAGCAAAAAATATTTTGGTTTTATTAGCATCATGTTGCATTAGCACTAAACATCTTCTCATCTTTGACAGGAAGTAAAGAAACACAGAAATACAAAATTGCAAAAATCCATTTAATTCTGACCAAACTCTCTTTAGCAGAAATTATGTTGCGAAATGATTTTTAAACTTGTAAGTATGAAGTCATTAACTTACCCTGGTGCAGTCTTCAAAATCGTTTTCCACACCATCACTTGATCTGATGTGCTGTAATTCAAATATGACTACTGTAATTGTCTTTACTGCATGCAAAGAATCTGACTTATCAAGGTTATCAGTGATGTCCTTGCAGAATTGAACATGTTTCTTGAGTAGAATAATGCTGCGTTCTATTGAGCTATGATTTTCTACCTGGTACATTTTGATAAAGGTTTTTGAATTGGAGCAGAAGGAAGAAATGAATATGCAGCATATGATTTTATATGAAATGCAGCATCCTGGACATTCTAAAAAAGGATAGTTGTCCCACCAAAATAAAAAATTTCTTCACCATTTACTCATACCCAAGTGGTTAAACATGAGAATTTCCTCTTTCTGTTGAACAAAACAAGATATTCTGAATAATTTTGGAAGAAAACAGCCATTAACATCCATAGTAGTTATATACATATAGTATATAGTATGTAAGTCAATGGCTATTTTCCCCCACATTCTTCAGTATATCTTCTTTGTGTTCAACAGAAGAAAGCAACTCAAACATGTTTGCAACAAGTGGAGCATGAGTAAATAATGGCATCATTTTTAAGTAAACTATCCCTTAAAAAGTCATATCTGGTACTAGGCTTGGTTTACTGGTAGTTTGGTAGAACTGAATTATGAAATCTTCACAATGCATACAATCTCAAACTCAATTTCCTGGAGGGCCGCAGCTCTGCACAGTTTTGCTCCAACCCTGATTAAACACAGCTGATCCAACTAATGAAAGTATTCATGACTCTTCTGAACACCTCGGTTATTTGGATCAGCTGTGTTTGTAGAAAAACTGCAGAGCTGCGGCCCTCCAGGAATTGAGTTTGAGACCTATGCTTTAAAGGTTTGTATCATAACCCTTTTTCACAAGTCCAAAACCACATAAAGCGAGCGTAAAAATCTTTGAAAATTTATTTATTCACTCATTTTTTTCCGCTTTTCTGTGGCCGGGTCACAGGGGCAGCAGCTTCAGGAGAGATCTCCAGATTTCCCTCTCCCCAGACACTTCCTCCAGCTCCTCAAGGGGGATCCCGAGGCATTCCCAGGCCAGCTAAGAGACATAGTCTCTCCGGCATGTCCTGGGTCTTCCCCGAGGTCTCCTCCCAGTGGGACATGCCTGGAACACTTCCCTAGGTAGGTGCAAAGCAGATGCCTGAGCCACTTCAGCTGTCTTCTCTTGATGTGGAGGAGCAGCCACTCTACTCTGAGCTCCTCCCAGGTGACAGAGCTCCTCACCTTATCTATAAGAGTGCACCCTGCCAACCTGCAGAGCAAATTCATTTTGGTCGCTTATATCTGAGATCTTCTTTTTCAGTCATGACCCAAAGCTCATGACCGTAGGTCCTTCGTCATTATAATGCTTATTTAGAGCTTCAGCAGATCATTTTAACCACATCTATATGCCTACAGGCATTGTGTTGCTGCCATGTGATTGGCATATTAGATATTTGCATTGAAAATCAGTAGACAATATGTTCCAAATAAGGTGGTCGGTGAGTGTAGTGTGCTGCAATCAAACACAAGAAAACATCACAGTATAGTTTACATTAAAAAAGGACACTAAAAGACGTTCATATGGATCATTTAATGGCAGATAATAGTGCTACACTCTGGGGTTACTGAACAGGCTTGCGGAATAGTCACATTTCTCTCCTGCATGTACTGTATACATATACTTACATGCTCTGAAACACCAGGGTCTGGAAAAAACAAGCACAGAATCATAGGAGCTGCTTTGACACTGAGTCATCATTACAAAGGCAAAGACAGAAGACCGAAACCCCAAAGTTTATTTACAATCTTTCTGCTGAATTTCAGTTATGTATTTATTTTGGCATGTGCTCTGTTCAACAAAGGTTTGTGCCATTTATTTTCTATTAAAGGGATCGTTTCCACCCCTAATCCAAATTCAAATAAAGAAGAATATTCTGCCATCATTTACTCACCCACTTCTTAACACAAAATAAGAATTTCTGAATTATTTTGAGAACCAAACTCTTAACTGTTTTCCAAATGCTATGGAAATCAATGGCTAACATCAACTGTTAGCATTTTCTTGTTCAATTTTTTTTCAGATTTAGAACAAGCTGATTATTTTTTATTTAATTTTACATTATATATCACCTTACAATAAAAATCTTGGTTAAGTTAAACCAAGGCATTAAAGTAAAAACTAGGCATTGACTTGGAACATTGGTTTGGGTAAGTAAATGCCAACAGAATGTTCAATTTGGGGTGAACTATATCCCTTTAACTTTCGAGTAGATTAACTGGGCTAATTCTTAAACATACAGAAGAAATCTAGGGTTGCTTTGTTGGGTCTTTCTAAAGGATAGGTAGGTCAAATTCCATACAGTGCATATAAAGGAGCTCGTAAATTAAAACGTTCCTGCAATTGCACACAAAAGGACAGGATTTCAGGACACAGATTCTCTCAGGCTTTCCAATTAAATGGATTTTCCCCAAACAATCAACGGTACGTTGACAATACAGACCAGGATTTGACTTTAATCAGCATCTGGGTGACCATCCCTACAGGTGGGTTACAATCACATCATCAAGTTATCATGACGGCCTATATTTCAAACAAAAACCAGAGGACACAAGTTGCGTAAAAGTCCTTCAGTTGGAATCCCGGTAGAGTCTCTGGAGCTGGACGTTAAAGTGTGCCCTCGTCTAGGAGTTTGTTTATCCCATCGCAGATCTTCCTCAGGTTAAGTCTGTAGTCTTCAGATGGGCCGTACAGCTCGGTCAGGAAATCCACATCGGCGAAATGGTTGAAAACGTGGTCAATTCGCCCGTGGGAGCGCATGGTCAAGTGGTGCTCCACCAGCTCGTGGAGAAGGTCTCTACATTCCAACAGCAGCTCTGAAAGGATGCCTCGGTCGAATGTGTACTCCACTTCATAAAAGCTCACCACTGTCATGGCCGCCTGGTTCATCTTCTTTTTGAAGCGCTCCACGGTCTCCATCTCCTCAGGACTGAACTGGTGGTTCCGGTAGAGAATGCCAATCTTCAGAGCGATCTTGATGACATCTTTGATGATCTTGTGGGCTTCCTTCTTGCTCTTGGTGTATTCTCGACTGGCCTTGTAGAGTTCGTCCAGAATCTCGCTGCTGGTGTCGTCTGTTAGGAGGTTCGCCACGGCCATGGTGGCCATTTTGCTCAAAATCTTCTTTTGAGCCTGAAGGGCCAAACTTTTGGAATTGAAGCTCTCATGCCCTGTAAACAACAGAAAAGAAGGCAATGTTAGCATCTGCAAGATTTTTTCCCGCACTCTCTCAAAGAAATCTGTATAAACGTCAGCAGTTTTTTTGTAAATAGGCTGCAGCATTGTAAGAAATCAACGTCAAGGATGGTCAGATGATAAAATGCCAGGCTGAAAGTCTTAAAAGTATAACATTCAAAACATTCCTCAGTCCTTGAACATATTTTGTTTAAAAAGAAGCATTAATGTTCCATTCAGTGGTTGAATTTCAACCATTTTCAACCAAGAATAATACACTTCTTTGCAGGTTAATTCTGCATCTCATTCCTTCTTTACTCTTTTCATTTCAAATGTGAAAGAAAAGGTATTTGTGACCCTGCAAAACAACAAAACAGTACATTTTTGGCAATAGTATGAGGGCGAAGTAGTGGTGCAGTAGGTAGTGCTGTCGCCTCAAAGCAAGAAGGTCGCTGGGTCGATGGTTCGAGCCTCGGCTCAGTTGACGTTTCTGTGTGGAGTTTGCATGTTCTCCCTGCATTCACGTGGGTTTTTCCCTGCATAAGTTGGCGGTTTAATCCGCTGTGGTGACCCCGGCTTAATAAAGGGACTAAGCCGACAAGAAAATGAATGAATGAATGAAGATACATATAAGTCATAATTAATGTTTTTTTTAAATGCCAAAAGTTATTAGAATATTAAGTAAAGTGCTTTTCCCACGGTAAATATATAAATGTCAGTTTTTGATTAGCAATGTGCATTGCTAAGAACTTAACTTGAACAACTTTTAAGACAATTTTCAAATATCTTATTCTCATCCCAAAAATGATTGGACATTTACAATAAGCAATAAAAATAATTCTAAATGAAAGAAAAAAAATGTAACAATTTATTTTGCTTGTCCACTTTAGACATTTACATTTTCTAACTGTAACTTTCCTGTAGATGTCAACAATAGCTGTCAACAATAACAATCTGTCTGTGTACTGTCTGTTAACACCTGTCAACCACTAGTAGTACACATACTCTACGGTGGCCGAGAGAGCTTCATTTAAGAAAACACATGCAATTACAAAAAACACCAGCAAATAAAGAAAGATCTCTGGGTGCTCTAGTTTTCTCCGCAGTCAAAAGACAAGTAGGTGAATTGAATTAAACTAAACTGGCCATAGTGTATGAGTGTGTGTGAGTAAGTGTATAGGTGTTTCCCACGACCAGGTTGCAACTGGAAGGGCAACCACTGCATATGCTGGAATAGCTGTTGGTTCATTCCGGTGTGGCAACCTCTAAAACAGAGACTAAGTCGAAAGAAAAATGAATGAATGAATAATACTGAGGCCAAATGTGGCATTTTGTAATGGAAGACTGAAGAACTGTAACATGGTTCTGTCATATTTGCTATTGCATTTTGGCCTGATAGCAATTGCTGGACTATCTGATGTTATTCAAGTTCAAATCATGCTCACTTTTGGAATAGGAGCAATGAAAGGACAGACTGCTATCAAAGATTCAGTTCAATTCATTACAAATGTCACTGCTGAAGGATGATTCACTGAAGGGCAGCTCCGCTGACCCCAAGCAAGCAAGCCAAAACACTCGAGACTTAAAGTTGTAGCAATGTCTAAAGTGAACTATATGAATACAAAGTTTAACCATGATAATGTCAGTGCCTAAACAAAATATGATGAACTATTATTCATCTTTAATCAAAAAAGGCATAGCATGTGATGCCATCAATGTTTATGTAATGCATTGACGTGTGTGCATTTTTGAAGAGATTTATTTATTGAGCCACTGTAAGTGCGTCACCAGAACCGTATTGTGTGCAAATTGATGCCAGCAAAGCTGTTGATTTACTAATGATTTATACAGTGTCTAATGGACTGTGATAATATTAGCACAAGCTAGAGATACTGTGGGTGTCTTTCTCTGGCTGTGTGTGTGAGCGCACAGTGTGTTCATTCTGCTGAGCTTTGCTGACTGTCTGATCTGCTGGAGTAAAGGTGGAAACTACATGTTCAATAACTCAATAATAAGATTTGGGCCAAAAATAGGAGAAAGAGGAAAAAAAGGATTGTGTTCAAGGAGGGTTGGAGGTTTATGGCCCTGGCAAAGTATGTGCACTATTCTGTGAACTGAGAAACAAATCGATGATCTGGTTTTGGCAAGTTACTTCTCTTAATCTTTATTTGGTGACATGTCATGTCACAACACATGATGCTGAACAGATTGAACAAAACCCTTAAAACATTTGAAATGTATCAGTGTTTACTACTAATTTGCTATAGCCTTTACAACAATATTGATGCATGTTAAAGGGATAGTTCATCCAAAAATTAAAATTTACTCACCATTTACTTATTCTCAAGTGGTTCCATACCTTAATGAGTTTCATTTTCCATTGAACATAAGATTATATTTTGAAAAATGGTAGAAACCTGTAACCATTGACTTCCACAGTAGAAAACACAAATACTACGTCGTCATCAGAGGTTTCCAACCTTTTTTAAAATAATTTTGTGCTCAACAAAAAACCCGAAACTCAAAGAGGTTTGTGATAAATGAAGGGTGAGTAACGGATGACAGAATTTACAGTTTCTGGATGAACAAACCAAAGCTTCTGTTCTGAGAGAAAAAAAAGGTCACACTTTATTTTGATGGTCCGTTTGTTGAATTTAAGTTACATTGCATCTACATGCCAACTAATTCTTATTAGATTATAAGTAGACTGTTAGGTTGGTGTTAGGGTTAGTGTAAGTTGACATGTACTTGCAAAGTTTCTTATAGTCAGTTAAATGTCTGTTAAAGGAGCAAAATCATCAGATATTAAGCAGACAGTCTACTAATACTCAAATGGACCATCAAAATGAAGTGTTACCAAAAAAGTGGACCAAAACAATGTGTTGAATTAAATATGATGTACTACAAAGTAACTGTGGTTTTAAACTTAAAGTAGGCTATACATGAGCATCGCATGAGGTTTGCATGTTAAAATAACTTGAAATAACAGCTTAAAACCTCTATTGACTTAATTGAATGACTTGTCGTTAGTCATGTCACAGCTTGGTTTGGGAACAGAGCTACTCTATGTCGATCATATAGACGAATTACCAGTTTGTAAACATTCAGGATGTGCATGCAGTGAGATTGCAGAAAAAAAGAAACTAGCATTTACAGCGAGGGAATGACATCCGAAGCAGTACAGAGTTTGTTATTATCTTAGAAATAAGCTATATTGATTACATATATATATATATATATATATATATATATATATATATATATATATATATATATATATATATATATATATATATATATATAATTTACATAATGGTTTGAGCGTATAAAGCACAGTTATTTGACAAAATTAACATTAAAGTGAGCGGCCTCCATTTGCGATAGCATTTCCCAATGTTTACTGAATAAGACGAAATGGCCAGGCATCCAGCCCCAAATATACAACTATCTCATTGAAGTGATTTTACAAGAGAGAAGTTAAAGGCCTACAAGTCTTTGGATGCCAACAGTTTTGTTTTTGTTGTCATGTGCAAGAAATAATGTTCCATGATTACCAGATTCAAAACTATGTAGTGCTAAAGTCTGAGGTTCTGCCTAGCTGAAGACAAGAAAAGACGACAGAACTGTAGAACGCCTGGGTAATCATCAACAAGCAAAACAACTGCATTCTGACAGCGAACTGCACCTGTAAGGCAGGGTATGTGAACGTACATTTTTACATTTCATTCTAAGCATTCAGTGTCTGCAGTTTAATTAACCATATTTTAAACATATTCATTGATATAAAATAAGAACTGCAGAGTCGAGCATTTATAATTAGATCCTCACTCCATTCAGCTCTTATGATGGCTGTCAGCCAAAGACGTCTGCAATTGGCATTAAAAGCAGTGTGGTGTACGGTAAGGTTTTCTATTTTTGCACTTCGAATTTGGCATCCTACCACACAACATGGCATGTTTGCTATTGCAACCTGTCTTTTTTTTTTTGCAACTGCTATGCACATCCGTGTAACGTCATGTGTAATGTAGGTTGGTAATTCCCCTACGGAGTTAGCTAAATAATCATATACCAAAGCAAAAACAAGATTGTTTTCCCTACCCTATTGGCAGATTATTTTGCCTGTTTTAAGGGCTAGAAACAAGACCAAAACTCTAAGAAACAAAATCATGTTTTGGGGGATTGAAACCTTATGAGAGTGAGTAATTAATAAAATAATAACATTTCAGTGTGAACTAACCTTTTAATAGGTGTAAACAGCACATTTTAAAGACAGCAGCAAGTATAGACAATAGATGATATGACAATGTTGATTCTTTAAGGCCATCGTGATGTGTAATATCTCAGGGTTTTGTGCGATGAGCGTGTGGGTTTATCTTGGGCAGAGATGGCGCAGGAAGGAGGGTATTGTTTTGTCATCTTTATCTGTAGGAGGCGTGGGCAATCTGAGAGCAAATTTTATTTAGATACCTCCCAGTTCAAATTACACACCACAGACGTGATCAACATTACAGAGCCAAATGCAGAGATTCAGTTGTGTTTTCAGACGGCCGCCACTCTCGTTTAATGCCTCGCACAAATCACGATTATATGTCAGCTGGGTGGTCTGGAAAATACGTCATTTGAGAATGCCACTGAATGCCACAGAATGGCACGTGAATGCCACACAAATGCCCAACCACTGCTCTAGTCTCTCTTTTTTCATATGAAGAGAGCCAGAGTGAAGTCCTCTTTTCCACACACAGACACGTACACACAATCTGACCCTGGGTTGACCTTTATCGAGTGTCGCTGACAAGACTGTTAATGTTCACTATGAATGACAAATTAGTACGAGCAGTTGTTATATCAGTGACGTCACACCAGGAGTACTGAGGCATGTTGTGAAAAAGAAGTATGCGTTAACATCATTTTAGAATTATTAAAAAACTTTCATTTTTTACAATTATAATATTTAACTGCTAGGGATTCTTACAGTACATCAAAAAAATTATATAAT